AGCAAGGGAAGGTGGAACTCAATCCTAGGGGATTTTTCCTTGTAATGTGGCCCTGGTTGAAGCCTGGATTACATGTGTAATGTTGACTTTAGTTAAAAGACTCTTGGAAGCCTGTGATATTTCCTCCTGTCTTTTTGCTGTCAGGTTTTATCCCAGATGCCTCTGTGCTGCTGCAGGATGTGTTAGTCCTCCCTTTCCCTCTGTGCCGCTTCTTCACTTTCTGATGTTGAACTGCAGGGCTCTTGAAGCCAAAAATGGTCACCTCGGCCTTTAGTGTGCATGTTGGACCCTGGTGCTTTCTTTGGCCACTGAATGAGCCCTCCTCACCCAGCACTCCCAACTGGATGCATCTGTAGGATTTTCCTTGGTTTTGCCCATCACCTCCTCACAGTTAGGTGGCTGACAAGCAAAATGATGGCTTTTCCCCCAGATTTAAGGAGCTGGAGGCTTTTGCAGCTCTGGGTGTGTCCTCAGGGCTGGATCTGTCCTGCACGGGCTGGTGTCAGCCCCAGAGCCCCCTACATTTAACAAAATAATTAACTGGGCTTATTCAGCTCTGCATAGAGCCAAAGTGTCTCTTCTGCCTGCTGTGTGAGAAGGACTCGGTGCTGGGCTGGCTTTGGGCTGTGGCTCTCCTGAGGGGAGTCAGGAGTGGTCCCGTGGGGGCTGAGCTGTGTGTCTGCTGGGACTGAGCCATGGGCAAGGTGGCTCCTGTGAGCCCAGGATGTGTGCCCAGGCAGGGCTCTGCCCTCTGTGCAGCCTGGCGAGGGCTGGCAGCAGCTGAGCTGACTTTTCCAGGCATTGCCCCTCCAGCTGCAGAGCTGTGCCCACCTGGGGCAAAACCCTGAGCTCAGCCCAGGGAAAGCCCCACCAGCCAGTGGGCATCACCTGGGTGTGGGTGAGGAAGAGGAAGGAGCAGCATGGCTGGGATTGTCCTGGGCAGAGAGGGGGTGACCAGCCCTGGGGCTGTGCCACCTGAGGGTCCTGTCTGGCAGGGAGGTGCCAGCCCTTCCCTGCTGCCCCTGGCAGGGAGGGGCCAGCCCTTCCCTACTGCCCCTGGCAGGAAGGTGGCAGACCTGGGGCTGTGCCACCCGAGGGTCCTGTCTGGCAGGGAGGTGCCAGCCCTTCCCTGCTATCCCTGGCAGGGAGATGCCAGCCCTTCCCTGCTGCCCCGGGCTGGGCTCTCAGCTCCTCGCCAGCCTTTTCCCTGCCTGGCACCTGGCTCTGGAGCAGCTCCCGGGAATGCTGCCCCGGCTCCCTGCAGGGCTGCTCCCCCAGCCTGCCAGGATCCCTCGGGAGCAAGGAAAAGCCTAGCCAAGGGGATGGCAGCCGTGCCCGCCTGCTGGGCGCCCCGGGCTGTGCTCGGCGGGTGCCAGGCTCCAGGCTGTGTTTGTGTGACTCAGCTCTGCTGCCGCGGGGACGTGCTGCCAGCCCGGGCTGCTGCTGGGCAGGGAAATGGCACCTTGGGTGGTGCCAGCACAGCGGGGCCGGCGAAACCCACCGACGGAGAGGGGCTCTGGGGGGGTGAAGCCCCCTTTTCCTGGCTGTCCCCTGGTCAGTGCCACTCCCCAGGACAGGGCAGCACAGACGCTGTGCTCACTGTCCCGAGGCTGCAAAGATTTGAAGTTAAAATACATCCTAGAGCTACAAGCAGCAGAAGGGCTGGGGTGTCCCTTCTCTCCCCAGAATAAAGCAGTGCCCTGGGGCTCTGCGGGCTGAGGTGGCTGCAGCTGTTGTGCCTTGGAGGTTTTGGTGGCCTCGGGAGGTTTGCACAGCTCCACTGTGGGTGCTGTGCCCCTAAAGCTCTCCTTGCTGCCCCTTTCCCATCCCCTGCGGGGCTCTCCAGTGCCAGGCTGGGCTCGGCTGTAGCCCAGCACTGTGTGCTGCTTGGCTTTGGGCTCTGGCTTTACAAGAGCTCAGCTGAGGGGCTGAGCTCCTTCAGGCCTGCCTTGTGGTGCAGGTTTGGGGTCAAGGCGAGGAAAAGGAGGCGGCTGCAGGCTGGGAGGTGGCAGTGGGGTGGCTGCAGGGCTGGGGCCCGGCACAGATAAACCCTGGGTTCTCTGTGTGCTGGGCAGTGATCTGTGGGAGCACAGCCGTGGCTCCACGCCTGCAAAGCACGGCAGGAGCAGCACGATGGCTGTGCTAATGGAAACCAGGAGAGGATGGGTCAGAGCTGACTTTCAATCAGCTGCTTTGGCCAGGAAACCAGAAATCCTCAGAGACCAGAGGCTCCTGCTTTGTCCTCTCTAACAGCTACTCTGTCACAGAGAGGAATTCCTTCCCACTATTCCACCTAACCCCCTGGCAGTGGGAAGCCATTCCCCTTGTCCCCAGCTCTCCTGGAGCCCCTGGAGCCCAGCAGGTGAGCTCCCTGAGCTCGCTGGCACGGGCACCCAGCGGTTTCCCAGGAGGATGCTCGGCCATGCACAGCCAGAGCAGCTGCTCCTGCTGGACTGGGATTTGTTCCATCCCCATTCCCAGCAGCTCCCAGGCCCTGCTCCCAGCACAGCCAGCCCTGGGAGCTGTGGGGTGCTGCCAGTTCAGCTGCAGGCACGGAGCTGCTGCAGGGGAAGCACAGAGAGCTTTCACTGCCCCGTTACTTGGAGACAGCCCATTGATTTCACCTGGCACTTGTGCAGCTTCAGGCACGTGTCTGTCTGTCTGTCTGCTCCATCTGCACCCACCTGGTTGCTGCAGGATGGGTGTGAGTGGAGATGCACGTGAGTATTTGCTTGGTGGGTGTTTCTGGCTTTCTCGCCGGTTTGTTTCTCCTGTTTTGGGGGGCAGAGGAGAAGCAGGTGTTGGGTGGTGAATTCCAGACCAATTCCTGCTCTGCAGGAGGAGCCAGGGCTGGGCTCAGTGGGCTCTGCCACAGCACCAGGGCTGGGCTGGGGCCAGTTCCCACCGGTGTGGGCAGCTCCCCGTGCTGGTGGGGCCTCTCTGCACACCTGGGGGTGCTCTCCAGGCTGGGCCAGGGGCTCAGCAAAATCCCCCTGCCCAGCAGCCTCCCAGCTCCCTTTGTAGACAGATCTGGCCCTGCAGGGATTTGGCATTTCCAGCGTCAGTTTCCCAAATATTTGGGTCAGGTGTGCGCTGAGCAAATGGCAGAGCTCTGGAAATCCAAACACAACATTTCTGCCCGGATTTGTTGGCTGAGCAGGCTCTTCACAGAGCTGGGTGTTGCTCCCTGGAGCAAACCTGGCGTGTTTTACCCCAAAAGCTGCCTGGGGTGGGGAGGGGGCAGCCCTGCCGTGGTGGCACGGGGGAGCTGTGGGGAAGGACAGGACCATCACTGCGGTCTGGGCTGAGACCCTGCAGCAGATCCCACTGCCAGGGGTGGTGAATCCTGTAAAGGCAGGGAAACACCCCAGAGATGCACTCACCCTGTGTCCCTACAAATGCACTTATATAGGGGTGTACAAAGGGATGTGTGGAGAGGATCTGTGTTTGCACGTAGATACTGGGAATATCTGTGTGTGGATATAAAAAGGGATGTATATCAAGGGTGTGCCCATGGATATATAGATCTGAGGGGTAGATGTGGGTATTTCCATTAAAGGTTACACATAAAGGGTGTGTATATGCCTGGAGCTGAAGGGCATACATGCAAAGGGGGTATATAAAATATATATATATGTGTGAAATATATATAAAGGGTGTACGTGTAGATGTGTATTTATTTTTGTATGGAGAGAGGAGTTTGTGGCTGAGCTATGCCCACAGGCTTTGAAGAGCAAAGATCAGGTCCGTGAGAAATAGGATTAAAAACCTGTAAAATAATTGGAAGCTGTGAGGGAATGAGCAGCAGCACTTGACTCCAAGGGGTGTTCTGGGGTGGGTGGGCTGTGTCCAGAGGGAATGCAGAGATCCCCATCCCATGGGTCTGGGATTCTGGAATTCCTGCCCTCGGTGCTGCAGCTCTGGGGCTTTGCCTTTGAGCCCCCCAAAGGTTCCAGTCAGGATGGGGAGGATTTGTGCTGCTCTGGGCATGGATGGGTTTGGTGGGCAGGCTCCAGCTGTGCTTGCACTCAAAAGATGGAAAAAAAAAAAAAAAGAAAAAGGGAAAAAAGGAAAACTAGAAAAGGAATAAAGAAGAAAAAATAGAACACACACACAAAAAGAGGTCAGTGCCTGCCCTAGCTGTGCTGTGAGCCTGGGGGCTCGTGGGGCTGGAGATGCAGCTGCAGCTTTTCAAACCTGCAGGTTTCAGACCTGCAGCTCAGGTTCCTGTGTCTCCCAGCATCTGAAATCCCCATGAGCAGCACTAAATGTTGGGTGCAGCAGTGCATTCAGGGGTCCTGGAGAGGTGGGAACATGGGCAGCCCTGCCCCAAGGTCTGGCTGGTGCTGGGCTGGTCCTCCTGCCCCCCTGGGATGCTCCTCAGGGAAATTGTGCTGTAGGAATGAAAAGCTGAAACGGCCAGGAATCCAGTGTGGAAAAATGGGCCGGGCTGGAAGCACAGGTCACAGCCTGGGGTGTGCTGCCCAACCCTGACCCTGCCCGGGGCCAGCAGGGCTTTTCCTTCTCTTTTGTTTCATTTGGCTGCAAATAACTCCGCAGGAAGGGCAGGGACTGCTCGAGGTGCCTGCAGCAGAGGGATGGGCAGGGATTTATTCCTGATCCTGCCCCGTGGCAGGGGGGGAACGGGATGAGCTGCAAGGCCCTTCCCACCCAAAGCACTCTGGGGTGCTGTGCAAGTGCAGGGAAGGTTTGTGGGGCCCCAAACCTTGGTGGTGTTGGTGGGTGTGAGGTACAGCTGAATGTGTTGGGGTTTACTGCCAGCCCTGAGCACTCAGGGAGGAGGAGGAGGATGAGGATGGCAGCACACCCACCCCTCCCCAGCCTGGGTGCCCAGGTCCCACCGTGGGAGATCTGCCCCTTTTGGAGGAAAACACACATCTGGACAAAAGCTTGTCCCCTCCAGCTGCTGGCTTCCCGTGGGGTTGTTCTGTGTGTCCCTCAGGGGCTGACCTGCATTTTCTGTTTTCTTTTCCTTCCAGAAACCTTGGGAAGTCCGGGCTGCGAGTGTCGTGCCTGGGGTTGGGTGAGTACCTGTGGCCCCTGTGCCAGCCCTCCGGGGGAGCTGTGGGACCCTCTGGTGTGCCCAGTCCCTGCGAGGAGCAGTGCAGGGACCCCACGGAGTGTCCCCAGGGCCAGCTGGGCTGGGGCAGAGCTGCATCCCGTGCGTGCCATCCCCTGTGTGCCCCGTTTCCCCCCGGCTGCAGCAGCACGCAATTCCATAGCCATGCTCCATCATCCCCTCTGTGCTGTTTCCTGGGGAAGGGTTCTGCTCCTGGAGAGCTCCTGCTGCCTTTACTCAGAGAAATGCTCTGAAGTGCAGCCCCTGGGGCACGGGGTCGTGTTGTGTGATGGAGACGAGCCCCGCAGGGAGGAGGAGGAGGAGGAGGCTGAGCTCTGCTGTGAGCTCCTCCGGCAGTGCCAGGCTGGGCACCAGGGATGGAGCTGTGCCCCAGCACAGCCCCCCAGCCCATTCCTGCTTCCCGGGGGCCACAGAGCTGCAGAACCACCTCAGGCTCCTTAAAGAATGGCCAGGAAGGCAGCAGCCAGCCCAGGCTGAGCAGGAATTTATGAAATCGTGGAGTTTGATGGCACATTTTGGTTTATTGCTACGCAGACAGAGCGCGTGGAGGGAAATGAGGTTAAAATCAGTCTGCAGTGGTTGAAGTGGATGCTGGCCCACAGAAAGGGGGGTGCAGAGGGGGAGGAGACCCTCCCCTGGAGCCCTGGGGTTCAGAGCAGCCCCAGTGGCAGGCTCAGCCTCAGACTGATCAGTGCTTTGGGTCTGGAGGGTTTGGCAATGCTCCATCAACACAACAATAGCAGGGCTTAATCAGTTGACTAATTTAACATTTATAAAGTGACTCAATAGGATTTGCTATAAGCACAACAGTAGCTTAATTATGAATCTAAGCTAATTACGAATCTGAGATGGCAGTGTTCATTCTACACTTACTCAGAGTATTTAAATCAACTGATGTACCCACAGGTCCAAGGAGTTTGCAGCAAGCTTTAAACCTGTGGAATAGTCAGGGAAACACTGCTGTCTCTAGGCTCACAACCTATGGCATGCCTGGCTTTAGTCATCAGGAAATTTCCATCCTGGGTGCAATTTGGGTGGGTAGTTACTGGAATTTTCTTTGAGAAGTCCAGTTATAATAATAATATTATTATTATTAGGTCAGGGCAACGTGATCTACTGGGAAGTGTCCCTGCCCAACAGAGGGATGGAATGGGACGAGCTTTAGGGTCCTTCCAGCCCAAACCATCCCACGATTCTGTGATTATTCTACTCAGGCCGTTCAGACACAAAAATAAGGCCTTGGGGCTGTTTGTTGGAAAGCAGGAGCTTGGTAGAGCACAGGCTGTGAGAGCAGAGAGTGTTTGGGGTAAGTTCCAGGGGGTCACCTGCTCAGGTGGGCATTGCCAGGGTGGGGGTGCTGCTTCCTGGGGCAGGGGAGGAGCTGGGGGGCTCTGCCTGATCATCCCTGGCAGGGCTGGCTGCCCCCAGGGGTTAAATCAGAGGGAATTGTGAAAGTCACCCTGCAGCACAAGTGGGAGAAGCAGGCCCTGCTCTGCCAAGAGCTCTTCTGGTTAAAATAGCCCAGCCTTGGAAAGGACTCGTCTGGTCTGTGCAGAGGTTTTATTTATCAGTTTTATTTATCAGCCTCACAGCTTCCCCAAGTGCTGCTGGTGGGGTGGGGGAGAAAGCCACGGGAAGGAAGTAGCAGCAGGAAAAAAAAAAAAAAACCAAACAAAACAACAAGCAGTTTTGCAGAGCTTTTCTTTGATTTGAAGTGGAACTGCAGCAGCATCTAAATATACAGAGGCTTTGTGAGTGCAGCTGTGCCAGGGGCTGGAGCTGTGGGCACCTCCTCCTGCTCCAGCACAGCCCTGAGCCCCTGCCCCAGGAGCAGGGAGAGGGAGCTGCAAGCATCAAATCCAGAATCCAGAAATCCAAATTCCCTGCAGTGGGCAGGTGTTCCTCCTGCTGCACAGCACCTTTTCTTCTGGATGGTCGTTTTGGGTTGGAAGGACCTTGAAGCTCATCCTGTTCTATCCCAGCCGTGGCAGGGACACCTCCCACTGTCCCAGGTGCTCCAAACCCCAATGTCCAGCCTGGCCTTGGGCACTGCCAGGGATCCAGAGGCAGCCACAGCTGCTCTGGACACCTGTGCCAGGGCCTGCCCGCCCTCCAGGGAAGGATTTCTCCCCAAGATCTGATCTAAATCTCCTCTCTTTCAGTTTAAAACCCTCTCCCTTGTGCCACCTGTCCCTCTGCAGATCCCCCAGGTGTCTGCTCCCAGCTCTGGCTTCTCTGACTTTCCTAAATGCCTTCTCTCTTGCAGTTCCCTAAGAGATAAATGTGTATCCCTGTGTTCCCTGCAGCATGAAAATCCAATTTAGGGCTCACTAAAGTTTCTGAAGGCTCAGCAGTCTTCCTCAAAGGCCTTGCAAAATCTCAGCAAGGTGGGAGTGCGCTTCATCCTGCAGGATGAAAAGTGGAGGAGAAGGGGAAGTGGGGCAGAAACCCGGGGTGGGCAGGGCTGAGAGCAGGGACCCTTTGGGGACATCCTGCTCCTCCTGGCTCAGGGGAATGAGCTCCTCTGCTGGCAGGGCAGTCTGGGGGGGCCCTGAGCCCCTCAGAGCATGGCTGGGCATCATTCCTGGGAGCTGGGGCTGCTCAGCCAGGCTGAGCTTCCCTGGGAGCATCCCAGTGCTGGGTCCTGCTCCTGCCAGGGCTGAGCTCCCACCTCCTGCTTGGATGAGTTTCCTCCAGGTGAGCCTTCCACTGGGGATCTGCCAGCCTGCTCCTGGGCTGCTGCCGGCCTCTTTCCTTGGTGAAACGTGATTCCAGGGAATGCCAGGTCATGTTTTTCACCTGTGCAGCTCAGGGGGACCCTGCCTTGGGCTCCTGCAGGTTTTGAGAGAGCCTTGACCTCAGGGAAAGGAGCAGGACAAAGCTGCCATGCCAGCATCCCCAGTCCCATGGACAGGAGGTCCCAGGTGGCTGCAGAAATGGTGTTTTGTGAGCCCAGAGGGGGCAGGTGCTGCCCTCCCCTTGCTCCTTGCTCTGGGGGTGAGGTTTGGCACGGGCACCATCAGCAGCACGGGCTGGGGGCTCAGCCCTCTGCTCCTGCACGGGTGACACTCGTGCTGGCAGTGCTGTGACACTGCTCAGGTGGCCTTTGCTCTGGCACCACGCCCTGCTGGGCTTGGTGAGATGGAGCCAAAGCAGGGCCTCGTGCAGGAATTCCCCTTGGATGAGAGGATATCCGCTTGGAAAACCTTTTCAAGGCAGGAGGGAGGAAGGTGATGGGCAAGGGTTGGGGTAGGGGAGAGGGAGACAGTGACTTGGAAAGGGGAAAGGAGCAATTTAAAAAAATATCTTTCTCCAGTATATTTTTCTTCCCAAATGAGTGTGTTGGCTGAGGTTGTGAATCATCCTTGGCTGTTGTTTGAAATGCCAAATGTGCCTTGTGCTTTTTTTTTTTTTTTTGCCTTTTTTCCTTTGCAGAGGGAGGGGAGCAGCCTGTGCCACGCCGTGCCTCTGCTTTGGTGGGGGAGCCTTCCCTGCTCCTGCCTCCTGAAGCAGAGCCCCTCCCTTCCCCAGCCTCCCCTGGTGCTCTGGAGCTCACCCTGCTGAGCCCAAACTCATCCCTGCCTGGTTTTTGTGATGCTCGTGGGGGATGAAGACCCCTTGGAATCCCCACCCGTGGGCTCTGCTGCTGCTGTGTGCCCCAGCTGGGCCTGGGGGCACAGGGTGGGCACAGGGTGGGCACGGGGGGCCCTCGGGCAGGGCTGCCCAGTACCACAGGGATTCCTTCCTTGCATTTCAGGAGCTTTAAGGTGCCTGTTGTTCTGCTTTGAGCTCTCAGGCTGCTCTCCCCCAGCACATTGTCACTCAGTGGGACGTGCTTTGTGTCAGAAGGTGAATTTTGAGAGGATGTGCGCTCTGTGGGGAGGATGAATAATCCTCTTCCTTCTCACCTGTGCACCTGTGTGCTGCTTATGCAAAAGGGGGAAAAAAAATCTCTTTGAGATAAACAGTCTCAACCCATTTTTTGGTACAAACACATTTTAATGCATTCCTGTAAAAATAACACCTCTGAAGCTTTAACATGGAAATCAGGCTTCATTTGGTTATTTTTTTTTATCTGCATGAAGAAGCTTAAAGATAAAATGAAAACAGGTTTCAGTTTTATCTTTGTTGTGCAGGACCAGAGCATTTAAACTCCAATAATCAGAGAAAATACCTCTCCTGAGGTCTGTAGCCAGCAAGGTGCAGCAGGGGTACTCCTGTCCCATTATTGTTGTCCTTACAGAGCTAAAGAAAATACAAAACCAGCTAGAAAATGTGAGCTCTTTGCTCATTTGTTTAGTTCCCATTTCATCTCTGATCTGTGGCAAACTTGGCTTTTCCAGCTCGGGTTGTTCTGCAGGAAGTCAGGAGTTGCAGTTTGAACTCACACTTTGTGCATCTTTAAATAGCTTTATTTGCACTGAGAGAAACCTGACATATTAAAAAATTCAGACTGGCCTTTTTTTGAGGAAGAGAGGGCGAGCTCCAGCTGCCAGGGACGATGGGTGGCTGTGCTCTGAGCAGGGCTGATCAAAGCTGCCCCAGCGCTTCCACCCCTGCTGGGGTCCGTGTCCCAGGGACCCCCGTCCCTCTTTGATGAGGCTCTGGCAGCAGCTTTTGCATCTTTTCGAGTGCAGGCAGGCAGGGGAGCTGCAGTTTGTGCCCCTTGGCAGCACCAGAGCTCGGCCCTGCACTGCAGTCCCTGCGCTGTCGCATCCCTGCTTTGGTGGGGTGGCTTGGGAGGGGCAGTGCCACCCTGCCATGGCAGGGACATTCCCCCTGCCCCAGGTGCTGCCAGCCGTGTCCAGCCTGGCCTGGCACGCTGCCGGGGCTGGGGGAATCTCGCTGGGTTTTCAGTGGGGTTTTTCAGCTGGTTTTCCCAGCCCCAGCTGGGAGCCTGAGCCCTCCTAAGTCAGAGCAGGGAGTCGTGAGAGCTCTGCCCCATCCGCGCAGGATGGCTGAATTTGACACCTGGGATTCCTGAATTTGACACCTGGGATTCCTGAATTTGACACCTGGGATTCCGTGCAGTCTGCAGGAGTGAGGAGCAGCTGTGCTGGGCTCAGGGGGACCTTGTGGCAGGCTGGCAGGAGCCCCAGGGGCTCACAGCCCTGCTGAGCCCAGCGAGCAGGGATGTCTCTGTGGGACCTGCAGCTTCCCCAGCTCCCTCTCCCCCTGCCTTGGGAGATCTGTATTCCTGAAATAAAGACATGCATGCAAAACCTGGATACAGGAATCATGTTCCTGTGGGAATTCCTTGGCTTGGACCAGCTGACCTTTAAAGGTTCCTTCTAACCCAAGCTGGTTGATGATCTGGTTAAAGCCACACGCTGCTTCCACCACAGGATTTTTTAAATTTTTTTTTAAAGCAATGATCACAAAGATATAATGCCCCAAGTTGTCCTAATAATAGACCAGAGTCAGCAACTGAGCCTAAACTGCAGCAGCTTTAGGGGCCAGCCTGGAGAAAGCAGTGCCCTTGGGCTGGGCTGGCACTGGACATCAGCTGCATGGAAAAGTTCCCAGGGAAAAGTCACTTTGGCTTGGAAATCTTTCCTGTCAGAAGAAATATTTCTCTTTTTTATGTCTTCTTTTTTCTTTTCTTTTTTTTTTACTTCTAATTTTGGCTTTCAGGATGCTAAATGCTGAAGTACATATTTAAGGAGAGTTTCATTCCCCAAATGATGTGTTGTGGCAGCATCACGGATTTTTTTCCAATTCGTCAAATTGAAGCTTTGGAAAATGATTTCTGATTTGGAAAGAGCTTCAGATTTCAGGGCCTGGCAGTGTCCCAGGCCAGGCTGGACATGGCTGGAGCAGCCTGGGACAGTGGGAGGTGTCCCTGCCATGGCAGGGTGGCACTGGCTGGGATTTAAGGTCCCTTCCCACCCAAACCATCCCATGATTTGAATCCAGCTCTGTGTTTTGGCACCACAGCTCCCCTGGGAGCTGCCCTGGGCAGCTGCCTGTGCCAGTCCCACCCTGGGGGCAGGTGCCCTGTCCTGCCTGGCTGCAGGAGCTCTCCTGGGGCTGCACCACCCCCTGAGCCAGCTCACCCTATCTTAAACCCAAAGGGAATTCTGGCAAAGTCTCATTTTGGATGTCAAAACCCTCTTGTAGTAACAGATTATTTTGCTTTTTCCAGGGACCTGGGTCACTTTTGGAGGTCAGATCTCAGATGAGGTGAGTGCCTGGAACAAACCCTGCTCTGGGATATTTTTTAATGAAATTGTGGCTGCTGCAGAGACAGCAGCGAGTCACTAACAGAGCTCTGCCACAACCCCCTGGTGAACCTGACATTTCCAGAGATGGACTCTCACAAGCCCCATCCACCCCTCAGGGCCATCTCCTGTCCTGTGCTGTCCCCAGCCATGTCCCCTCCTTCCCCTGGGCTCCTGCAGTGGGAATTGGGAGCTATTTTTGTGTGTGGACATAATGGGCAACAGCCCTCAATACAGGCAGGGCTGGCCTTACAAAGGTGATTTATTTTTGACATAAGAAGCTGGAACAACTGAAAGTGAGCTCGGGTTTCCTCCGTGCTTCTCCCTGGAGCAGATGGCTCCTGATGCAGGGAATCACCCCGGAGCACTGGGCTGCACTGAGCTCCTCTGCAGCCCAGGTGTGCCAGATGTGAGCGCCAGGGAGAGCAGCTGCCTGCCCCTGGGACGTGGAACAACCCCAAAACAACTCTGGCATGAGGAAGAGAGCCCAGGAGCCTCATTTCCAAGGGGTTTTCCTTAAATTCATTTATCTGTCATGCTGCTTCTCCCGATGGATTCCCCAGCTTTGGTCCCATGGATTCCCCAGCTTTGGTCCCATGGATTCCCCAGCTTTGGTCCCAGTGGATCCCCAGCTTTGGTCCCTCTCACGGCACTGTGGGATGATGACCAGTCAGGTGATGGTCAGTCAAGGCCTGTTTTGATGTCCACTTTGCCCTCTGGTCCTCCTGCCCCCCTTGCTCACCATAATTCCCTGCAAAGCAGGACAAATTCCGTGGAAAAGCAGGACGAAAGCACAGCTCTGTCCTTGGGGCTGCCCTCCTCGGGATGCTGAGCCAGAGCCTTCAGCCCCTTGGGGTGCAGCAGGAGCCCCAGGGCTCCACAAAATGACCTTCAGTCATTTCCCCATCCCAGGACACCTCAGAGAGCTGCAGGACAGGCTGGCAGGCAGCCAGAGGAACCCTAACCCCCCCATTCTGTGTTAAACCCCGTAGAGCTGCAGAGCATCTCCTGTAACCCTGTGAAATCCTTGGCTGCCTTCCTGACGGAAAGCTCCTGGGAGAGGAGAAGGGTTCCTGCCGGGCTGGCTCCAGGGGGAGCTGATGTAAAGCCGTGTTTTGGTGTCCCTCCCGGGGGTGTCCCCTGGGCAGGGGCTGGCACAGCCCTCCCGGCCTCGCTGAACGCTTGTCCCCGGTGGCGTTTTCCCTGCTGGGGTGCGGGTTGTCACCGGGCTGTCCCCCGCGCCTCCCCAGGTGGCCGAGCAGCTGATGACCATCGCCTACGAGAGCGGCGTGAACCTGTTCGACACGGCCGAGGTGTACGCGGCTGGCAAGTGAGTGCGGGGCGGGCTGGGGCACACACACCTGGGCAGGGGCTGGCACAGACACACCTGGGCAGGTGTGCCCGGGGGGGGGGCTGGGACAGACACACCTGGGCAGGTGTGCCTGGGGGGGCTGGGACAGACACCTGGGCAGATGTGCCCGGGGGGGCTGGGACAGACACACCTGGGAGGGCGGGCAGGGTGTGCCCGGAGGGGCTGGCACAGCCACACCTGGGCAGGGGCTGGCACAGACACACCTGGGCAGGTGTGCCCTGAGGGGCTGGGGCACACACACCTGGGCAGGTGTGCCCGGAGGGGCTGGGGTACAGACACACCTGGGCAGGTGTGCCCGGGGGGGCTGGCACAGACACACCTGGGCAGGTGTGCCCGGAGGGGCTGGGGCAGACACACCTGGGCAGGGCTGGCACAGCCACACCTGGGCAGATGTGCCCGGAGGGGCTGGGGTACAGACACACCTGGGCAGGGGTGCCCGGGGGGGCTGGGGTACAGACACACCTGGGCAGGTGTGCCCGGGGGGGCTGGCACAGACACACCTGGGCAGGTGTGCCCGGAGGGGCTGGGGAACAGACACACCTGGGCAGATGTGCCCGGAGGGGCTGGGGTACAGACACACCTGGGCAGGTGTGCCCGGGGGGGCTGGGGTACAGACACACCTGGGCAGGTGTGCCCGGGGGGGCTGGCACAGACACACCTGGGCAGGTGTGCCCGGAGGGGCTGGGGCAGACACACCTGGGCAGGGCTGGCACAGCCACACCTGGGCAGATGTGCCCGGGGGGGCTGGCACAGCCACAACTGGGCAGGCTGTGCCTGGAGGGGCTGGGGTACAGCCACACCTGGGCAGGTGTGCCCGGGGGGGCTGGCACAGCCACACCTGGACAGGTGTGCCCGGAGGGGCTGGGGCAGACACACCTGGGCAGGTGTGCCCAGAGGGGCTGGCAGAGCTGTACCTGCCTTCCCTGGGCTCTCTGCTCCCCCTCTGATGGGCTGGGCTCTGGGCATGCTTGGAAAGCCTCTTTATCCCCGAGTGGGACAGGAGAACCTTTGCATTTGGGGCACTCATCAAACAAACCCAGACAATTAACCCAAAGCCTCTCGTGCCCAGCCAAGGCTGGAGTGCAGCACTGTTGTTGGCACAGGGAGAAAAATACCCTGAGCAGATGGCAAGTGGCTCTCAGTGGTGGTGGATGGCTGGGGCTGTGACAGCTCCAGGCAGGAATCCCGGGGGGAGCCCCTCTGGCTGCTCTCAGAGCCACTGTGGGGTGGGGGGATGCCCCCTCTGGGGTGAGGGGCACCGCCTGTGGATGGGATGGGGGCCACCACCCGTGCTGAGTGGGACTGGGGTGACTGACAGGGCTCCCAGCTGGGCTGGGACGTCGTGTCCTGCTCAGGGACCAGCCCAGGGTCGGGCACCTGGGAAGGGGCAGTGGGGGACAGGAGGCTCTGTGCTGCATGGACCTGTCCCAGCTGGGGGTCACTGTCACCAGGGGAGGGCAGGGGCAGCTGCAGCCGGGCTGGGTGGGGGCACTGAGCATCCCCTGCCCCCCTCACGCTGCCCTCTTCCTGCACAGGGCCGAGGTGATCCTGGGGAACATCCTGAAGAAGAAGGGCTGGAGGTACAGTATGCCATTTTCCCTGATTTGGAGAATTTCCCGTGTTGGGGGCTGCTGTCCCAGCACCTGCTGGGTGCCGTGGTCCCACAGGAGCAGCCCCCCTTCCCAGTGCCCAGGGAGGGTGCTCCCCTGGGAATTGGGCTGTGCCCACCCTGTGTGCCCCCCGTGTCACCCCTCGGGGCTGTGCCCCCCGTGTCACCCCTCGGGGCTGTGCCCACCCTGTGTGCCCCCCGTGTCACCCCTCGGGGCTGTGCCCACCCTGTGTGCCCCCCGTGTCACCCCTCGGGGCTGTCCATCCCCTCCCGCGTGGGAGGCTGGCTGCTCTTGGCACCTCATCCCTGCTGGGAACGCCGTGGGTTTGGGATGCAGAGCTGTGACAGCCTGGGAGGAGGTGACACCTCGTTTAAAGGATGCACATTAGCATATGTTGTGGAGTTTTAAGGGATTTGCATAATCTTCCCTGCCTGTCCTAGGCAGGTTCAGCCCAAGGGGGGGTCTAGCAGGGCTCTCTCCAAACCCAGCCCAGGGGATTAGGGGGATGATTGATTACTTGGTGAGAAGAGGCCTCCCTGCCTGTCCTAGGCAGGTTCAGACCAAGGGGGGTCTAGCAGGGCTCTCTCCAAACCCAGCCCAGGGGATTAGGGGGATGATTGATTACTTGGTAAGAAATACCCTGGGTGATGTGGAGGAAATAAAATGAAGTCCAATAAAAGCTGGGGAAATTGTGTTGTACATGTCTGGTTATGCAGCAAGGCAGCTGGAGGATGATAAATCTTTGATTTAATACCATGTAGAGTTTACAGATTAATTCAGATGTCTCACACTGGAGTTTAATAACTCTGGGAGTGCTGCCTGGCAGTGAGAGGCACGGGGCAGGGTGGCAGGAGGGAATAGCACTGCAGCCCCTGGGAAAAGGGCTGGGAGCTGCTTACTCAGTAATTCAACATGTCTGGGGCTTTTGGTCACCTCACTTGGATTACCTCTGGTTTCTATCCCGATGTCCAGTCCAAACTTTCCCTGACTTCATCCAATTTGCTCGTGCCCTGACTATTTATGGGCATATTTTACCAAAACACCTGCAGGATATTTCACTTTCCATCTCCTGAAGGAGCTGAAGCTCAGCTCCCCAGTCCCTGGAGAGGGACCATGCCCTGAGCACAGTGGTGCCATCCCTGGGGCACCTGGCAGTTCCTGGGGTCTCCCTGGCTGCCAGAGTTCCATTTGGAGGGAATTCCCCAAAAACCAACACTGCAGTCAGTGTCTCCTCAGCGTTTCACAGCTGCTCTGGTCTGTTTGAGCATTCCCAGCAGGAATCCTGCTCCCAGGTTTTACAAGTTGCTGATGGGCAGCATCTGCTTTGTGACTATTATTGTTATTGTTAAAATATTATTATTTTTAAAATTATATTAATTTTCCTGTTCTTTTTTCAGGAGGTCCAGTTTGGTGATAACCACAAAGCTGTACTGGGGTGGCAAGTAAGTGTAACAGTCACTTGTCCTGGGTTTGCTGCCCCAGCCCTACAGCCAGGGGACATTAATGGCACCTGGGGGTGCTTTGCTGCTGTCATTGCATTTCTGTTAATTTTGCCAAGTGTTTTACGGAGTTGGAGAGGAGGAGGCTCCAGGGAGAGCTCAGAGCCCTGCCAGGGAATGAAGGGGCTCCAGGAGAGCTGGAGAGGGACTGGGGACAAGGATGGAGGGACAGGACACAGGGAGTGGCTCCCACTGCCAGAGGGCAGGCATGGATGGGAGATTGGGAATTGGGAATTCCTGGCTGGGATGGAATTCCCAGAGCAGCTGGGGCTGCCCCTGGATCCCTGGCAGTGCCCAAGGCCAGGATGGATGAGCTTGGAGCACCTGGGACAGTGGGAGGTGTCCCTGCATGGCAGGGGTGGCACTGGGTGGGATTTAGGGTCCCTCCCAGCCCAACCAGCGTGTGATTCCGTAGTTTTGGGGGTGTTTCAATGAGAGCACAGCTCGGTGCTCCCGGGCTGTCAGCACCCCTCCCAGCTGTGCCTGTTTTTCCCTTGCAGAGCAGAGACGGAGCGAGGCCTTTCCAGGAAACACATCATCGAAGGTACCAGGGCCGGGCTGCCCCGGGTGGGCTCTGTCCTCTGCTCCAGGGCTCTCCCACAGCCCGGGGCTCTGTGATCCCACCACCCCTGTGCCAGTCCCACGCAGGGCAGCTCCCAAACTCGTCCTGAAATGCCCAGAATGCACCCAAGGATCCCCTCAAAAAGCGTCAGGGGATGGACGGTGCTGGCAGCCCCCTGCCCCCTCATTCCCGGGGCTCTGCTGGGTTTGGGGAGCTCTCTGCACCCCCCAGCCCTTCCCCAGGGGTCAGGGGTGCCTGGGCTGCCTTTGGAGCTGGGAGGGGTGAGGATGAGGATGTGGCAGGATGTCAGCCTGCAGAAATGGCCTCTGGAGGGCTGAGCTTTGCTCTTCCTCGAGGGCTCAGTTCTGCTCAGCTGGCTCCATCCCATCCTGGGGTTACTGACCCCATCCCTGCTCCCCTTCCTGCTGCTCTGTCCCTGTGGCCGTGTTCCTGCAGGAGAGGGGACAGCAGCAGCTCTGTGTTCTGTTTGTGCACTGCAAAGCCTTGGCCATGTCTGCTGGGGCTGGACCAGAGCTGGCTCTGCAGGGCTCAGCTCACAGCATGGGGACAGCAGTGCCGGGGACACAGCTGTGCCTGGGGAGCTGGGGGTCACATCCAGGATCAGTGCTGTCCCCTGTGACCCTGTCCCACTGTGCCTGGGGAGTGAGGGTCACATCCAGGGTCAGCAGTGTCCCCTGTGACCCTGTCCCACTGTGCCTGGGGAGTGAGGGTCACATCCAGGATCAGCACTGTCCCCTGTGACCCTGTCCCACTGTGCCTGGGGAGTGAGGGTCACATCCAGGATCAGCACTGTCCCCTGTGACCCTGTCCCACTGTGCCTGGGGAGTGAGGGTCACATCCAGGGTCAGTGCTGTCCCCTGGGACATTGTCCCACTGCCTGGGGAGTGAGGATCACGTCCAGGATCAGCACTGTCCCCTGGGACCCTGTCCCACTGTGCCTGGGGAGCTGGGGGTCACATCCAGGATCAGTGCTGTCCCCTGGGACATTGTCCCACTGCCTGGGGAGCTGGGGGTCACGTCCATGATCAGTGCTGTCCCCTGTGACCCTGTCCCACTGTGCCTGGGGAGCTGGGGGTCACATCCAGGACCAGCAGTGTCCCCTGGGACCCTGTCCCACTGTGCCTGGGGAGTGAGGGTCACATCCAGGGTCAGCAGTGTCCCCTGTGACCCTGTCCCTGTGTGACCCCTCTGTGCTTCCTGCCCCCCAGGATGTGCAGAACCTGCTGCTGGGGCTCAGGGATGGGACCCTCTGGGCAGCAGCTCCTCCTTCCTGTGCTGCACACCTGGGAAATGGGAGCCCCAGGGCAGTGCCCAGCTCAGGTGGGGTGAGTGGGGGTCAGCAGCCCCTCCCTGGGGTGCAGCTTTGGCTCCTCCATCCTCCTCCTTCCTGCTCCTGGCAAGTTTTATCCAGGATTGCCCTGCGGAGGTTTATCTTGGAGTGTGGGCAGGATCCAGGCACATCAGGATCCTGGGACTTTCCCAGGAAGGTAATCCTGAGAAGGCTTTTCTGGTAGCAACATTTTGTTGAATTTTCATCTAAATAAGCTTCAGTGAGGCAGTGGCACTGAAAGAGCTCAGGGAGGTGGCAGATGTGTCACAGGCACCCCAGACCCATCCATTTTCCATTTCTTGTGGGACTACTTTGTGAAATGACAGAAAAGCACTGGCAGGAGTTGGAATAATTTCACAGAACACCCAGCAAACAACGTGAAGGTCAATGAGAGATATTTTATATTTTTATATATATTTATATATATCTGTGTGCGTGAGAGAGAGAAGAGGATTTTTAACAGTTATTTTCTACAAATCTTCCCAAGAACAAAATGTTTTTATGAATGTTCATGAAGAATGAGTCAAAATAGAGCAGGCTGGAAATGTTTGCTGAATTTTGAGCTGGATAAAATGCCCATCCTCTGCTCGCCCTCTCTCATACACTCATGCATGGATATATAAATATATCTGCAGGGGTTTGATGCCATCTCCCATCAGATCCTTGCAGGAAGGCTCTGAAAACTTGGACGTTTATGGACTGAGCTGCAAAGGGCTTGGGCTCACTGTGCCAAGCTCCCTGTGCAGGGTGGGTGGGCACAGCTCGCCCTGGCAGGGGAAGCCCTCCCTGCTGCTTCACCTGTTCCCATAACCAGTGGCACCAGTCAGCCCCAGTGCCACCATCCTGCCCTCTGGGGCTGCCCCCTGGAATGGCCCCAGCAGCTGGGGCTGGAGCAGGAAAGGCTCTGTGGCAAAATTCGGATGGAATTCCCTGCAGGCAGGAGCAGGGCACTGAAAGAGTCCCTGGCAGGCTGGCAGAGACAGCTCTGTAACCAGGGCTGGTCAGCACAAATCCTGCAGCTCTAAAGCACATTCCTGGGGAAGGAGGGGCTCCCTGTGTGGCCAGGCTGGTGCTTTCCTCTTCAGATGGCTGCAGGGACGTGGCACAGCACCATTCAGCATCCCTCTCACATCCCTAAGTGGTTCTGTGTGTGTGTGTATATAAAAATACACATATTTAAATACAGCAAGCTGTGGTTGGTGCCATGTTGGCCCCGTTCCGTGCCTCCCTGTGACCCTGCCTGTCCTTGTCTCTGCTTTCCCATGCCCAGGGCTGAAGGCTTCTCTCCAGAGGCTGCAGCTGGAATATGTGGACGTGGTCTTTGCCAACCGGCCGGACAACAACACCCCCATGGAAGGTTGGTGGGAGCTGCCCTGAAAGGGTTAACCTTCAGAGCCTGATCCTGGCCTAAGGGCTTAGGCTGAGGAGGGCAGGAAGTGGAAGACAGTTAGTAATCAATTGTTCAGGTGTTTAGTTCAGTTTAAATTGTTCCGTTTAAATGTTAAATATCTCATTTTGGTGGCCAGCTCCATGGAAGGTGTCCCTGCCCAGGCAGAGGGCTGGAATTCGGTGTCCTTTAAGGTCCTACTTAAGGTTTCAATGTCTACCCTGCCACGACATGAGTTTGTATGTTTTTGAAGGAAATGAAAGTTTCCTTTCTGTCCCAGGAGTGACTTTAACGTTTGGAGTATTTCCTTTTCCCAGCTCCTTCAGACAGAGTGGATTTGTGGCTGGGTTTAAGGCAGGTGTCTGTGGCAGGTGGCTGTGGTGGGTGGTCCGTGGGAATCAAACAGAGCTGCAGCTCTGCCAGGAGTGCTGGTACCCATTTCCTTGGATGTGGGGCTGTGCCACCCCGGGTGACCCACAGGTGCCACCCAGTGCGGGTCAGGGACCAGCCTGGGATTTTAGGAGCTTCTCCAGGAGCTGCTGAGGTCAAGGAAGGCTCTGTGTTGTGTCTGGGAGGGAGCTGTGACCTCTGTGCTCGTTCTGCTGTCACTGAGCAGTGTGGAGGGGCCCCTGTGCCCAGGGCACAGCTGATCCCACACCCCAGAGCCAGCCCTGGCAGCCAGGCACGGGCTGTGGCGCTGGCTGAGGCTCCAGCAGGGTGAAAAAAGGGATGTTTCTCTTATGAATGGCATGCTGGAGACACTTCCCATCTTCTTCCTGCCTTTTTTATGGATCACCTACTAAGGCACTTCCCTCCCAGAGCATCTGCTGGGCCATCTGTCGGTGCTGCTTGCTGAGCCACTCCATCCTGCTCAGCATCACACAGCCTCAGCTTCTCCCACGGGGAGCCATGGAGCGCCTTGGAGGGCACCTTAAAGCTCATCCCATTCCCTTCCACTGTCCCACGCTGCTCCAGCCTGGCCTGAGACACTTCCAGGGCTGGGGCAGCCCCTCCTGGAGGAGAAGGTGACCTGAAAGTGTTCCCTACTCGTGGCATCACCTGTGGGTCAGGCTGGAGCAGCCAGTGCGCTGTGAGCAGCGGGGCACAGCCACATCAAAACCTGGAATGTCCTGTTTGTTTTCCCTGCCTGCTGCTCCTGGGTTTGTCCCCTGTCCCTCTGCTGGCAGTGCCCCTGGGCAGCAGCACCAAGGAGCAGCTTCTGGAGATGCCAGAGCAGATCCCTCTGTCCCCAGGCTGCCCGGGCTCTGCTCCTCCCCTGGGGAAGGAGCAGATGAGCATCCATGGGGATTTCTGTGCTGGCAGCCACTTGGGCCTCAGGGCACCTGGCAAAGCTGCTTAACCTAAACCCCCGAAAGGTATTTAATGTTCTTAAAGGTCTCAGAGCAAATTGAAATAGTTTTCCGTTGTAAAAGCAGGGAATGCTGGAGGCAGGGGGCAGCTGGGGATGAGCACCTTGGGCAGCCCGTGGCACGTGGGTCTGGCTGTGCCCCCTGTGCCCCAGGGCCAGGCAGGGGGCTGAGGGCTGCCCACCCTCCCTGGGGCTGGCTCAGCCGTGTGAGGGCTGTCCCTGCCACCCTGTGCCACCCCAGCCCCTCGATCGGGGACCTTGGGGACAGCTGCTGGGACGGATCCGTCCTCTCCACAATTCCCGTGTGCTCCGTGCCTCGTTCCTTGGGGTGAAATCTCATCCCCCAGCTGGGCAAGCAGCTGCTTTTCCTTCATCCCAAGGGGCTCTTCCAGCAGGGCAGCTGGAGAGGAGGGTCCCTGGGGTGTCCCCACTGTCACAGAGCCAGGTGCCCACGGCATGCCCAGCAGCCGGGCACAGCCTGGCACCAGGAAGGAAGGTGACAACCAGGGAACTTTAACCTAGTTCAGAGTTATTATTGTCATGGTGCCACGGGCTGTTGTTTGGGATTTGAAGCATTGATTTATATTAAAAAAACCCAACAACTCCTGTTCTTAGGTGCTGCCATTTGGGCATCCAGCTGGAGGACAGGAGATCCAGCCTGTGCCCTTCCCAAATCCCATTGCTGTCCCCTGGCTCTCTCAGCAAGGAGATATATATATATATATATATTTAAATACTTTCTGAGTTGACTTGGGGTTTTTTTTTTTGAAAGGAGTAGAGGCTGGAGAAAGGAAAACAACCCCAGGCTGAGATGTGTAAGAGGCGTGTGACGAAATGTTTTCCAAAACTCCGAAATGGTGGTGGGGCAAAAATAGAAAACTAAACCCAGGGAGAAGCTGCTGAGGAGGGAGGGAGGAAGGGAAGGATCATTTGCAGGCTTACACTGATGGTGGTAGGAAATGAAAAACAATTTTGAATTAAATATTCAGGTGGAGCAGCTTGAAATTGCTCATTAATTGAATTCTGGAGCTCTGGTCAGGTGGAAGGTGTCCTGGCCCACAGCAAGGGCTTGGAAGAGGAAAATCTTTAAGGTCCTTTACATCCCCAACCAGTCTTTGATTCGATGTTTTCCCTTCACTGGAATGAATTGGTATTTTTTCAGGAAGAACTGGAAGTTTCCTTTACATCCCAGTGCTGGCTTTGAGGCTCTCTGGGGTTTTTATTTCCTTTCCCTCATTGCCTCGGATAAAGTGGATTTGAGTTTGGGTTTGAGGCAGGTCTGTGTGTGGAAGCAGGGTTATAAATGGAGCCTTCCCCCTCGCAGCTGCCTGGCAGTGCCTGCAGGAGGATTCTCAGCAGTGCCCAGCTTGGCACTGGAGCCTGCTTTGGGGCAGCAGTGCCTGCAGCCCTTAGCCCACCCCTAATCCCCAGGGATGTTCTGGGCACCGCAGGCTCCAGGGCAGCCCCTCCAGAGGGGTTTGGGTGGTCAGAGCTGCTGGGGTGGGTGGGCAGTGCCCGCTGACCTCGAGGTGCCACAGGCAGCAGTGCCCCAGAAGTGTTTTCTTTCACTTCCCACAGAGAGTTTAGCTCATTTTCCCCATTCTGCGGGCAGTGGTCGCATCTCTGCTGCAGCCCTGTCAGAAATAGGGTTTATTGCCACAGCCAGGGCAGGGCTGTGGCTGCTCCTGGGGACTGTGACACAGGGCAGGGATGGATGGGATATTGGGAAGGAATTCCTCCCTGGGAGGGTGCCCAGAGCAGCTGTGGCTGCCCCTGGATCCCTGGCAGTGCCCAAGGCCAGGCTGGACATTTGGCGCAGCCTGGGACAGTGGGAGGTGTCCCTGCCATGGCAGGGTGGGACTGGATGAGTTTTTACATCCCTTCCAACCCAAACCAGTCTGGGATTCCTTTAAACTAAAGTTCATCAGGGATTTTTCACCCCCAGGCAGGTGGGGAGGTCTGAGGGGTGCAATCCAAGATCCTGTCCAGGTGTGTGTGGCCTTGCAAGCTTCCATATCCCAGAGAGCAGCAACGGGGAGCGTGGCACTGCTGGGGTGCAGAGGTGACACCTGGGGGTGACAGGGCCCTGGCAGGGTAGGGTTCAATCAGCCATCCTTGCAGCTTTGTCCCTGGCATTCCTGGTAAAGAGAGGCAGACCCAGATATGTGCATTCAGGAAGCAGATTAAAAAAAAAAGAAAAAAGGAATTTATTTTGAAGTTTATTTTTCCGCTGTGCTGCCCTCTTGTGTTCTGTTTTGGGGGAAATGTCCTCTTAAGGCTGTGGTGGGCAAGAGCCAGGTGGGAAAAGCAGTTTTGAACCAACTGCAGGGTCACTGTCTTGATGTTTGCACTGAAAGTGCTTTTCCAGCCACACCTGGGCAGGAGAGCACAGCAGGAGCGAGCTCAGGACTGTCAGTGTGGGGTGTTTGGAAGTGGGTTGGGTGGAAACGTGGCCTCTGGGCACTTCTCACACTCCTGTTTTTGCTGTCCTTCAGAAATCGTGCGGGCGATGACACACGTGATCAACCAGGGCATGGCCATGTACTGGGGCACGTCCCGCTGGAGCGCCATGGAGATCATGGTGAGGAGCTGGGGGGTCATGGGGAGGAGCTGGGGGGTCATGGTGAGGAGCTGGGGGGTCATGGTGAGGAGCTGGGGGTCATGGTGGGGCCATGGGGAGCATGGAGATCATGGTGAGGAGCATGGAGGTGATGGTGGGGTCATGGTGGGGAGCATGGAGGTGATGTTGGAGTCACAGAGATCATGGTGAGGAGCTTGGGGGTCATGGTGGGGCTGTGGGGGTCATGGTGAGGAGCTTGGGGGTCATGGTGGGGCCATGGGGAGCATGGAGATCATGGTGAGGAGCATGGAGGTGATGTTGGGGTCACAGAGATCATGGTGAGGAACTTGGGGGTCATGGTAGGGCCATGGAGATCATGGTGGGGAGCATGGAGATGATGGTGGGGCCATGGAGGTCGTGGCATGGCAGCCCTGGGCACACTGGGTTCCACTCCATCCAGGCTTTCCACCTCAAATAATTTAACAGCCTGTCCCAGAATGAGCCCAGTGCTAATTAGGAGAAGATGGGCTGATGTGTGGGGGTTTGGCTGGTTTCTTTGGGTTTGTGTCATTTTGGTTTGACTGAAGTCCTTCAGTTTGATACCAGCCTGGCCCATGGCTGGATGGGGGTGGAATGAGATGGCTTCAGTGTCCAAAGCAGGCTGTGAGTCCAGGAGATGCCAGCACTGCAGCATCCTGCTGGTGCCACTTGCCCTTGCCGAGGGACAGCGAGCGTTGCCTTGGCCATCTCCTGTACCCCCAGAGAACGTGTCCTGCAGGGCATCTCCATTTTCTGAAGCGCTTTCTCCGCGCTTTCCCCTCGGCAGGAAGCCTACTCCGTGGCCAGGCAGTTCAACATGATCCCCCCCGTGTGTGAGCAGGCCGAGTATCACCTGTTCCAGAGGGAGAAGGTGGAGGTGCAGCTGCCAGAATTGTATTGCAGCTTTGTCCCTGGCATTCCTGGTAAAGAGAGGCAGACCCAGATATGTGCATTCAGGAAGCAGATTAAAAAAAAAAAGAAAAAAGGAATTTATTTTGAAGTTTATTTTTCCGCTGTGCTGCCCTCTTGTGTTCTATTTTGGGGGAAATGTCCTCTTAAGGCTGTGGTGGGCAAGAGCCAGGTGGGAAAAGCAATTTTGAACCAACTGCAGGGTCACTGCAGATGTTTGCACTGAAAGTGCTTTTCCAGCCACACCTGGGCAGGAGAGCACAGCAGGAGCGAGCTCAGGACTGTCAGTGTGGGGTGTTTGGAAGTGGGTTTGGTGGAAACGTGGCCTCTGGGCACTTCTCACACTCCTGTTTTTGCTGTCCTTCAGAAATCGTGCGGGCGATGACACACGTGATCAACCAGGGCATGGCCATGTACTGGGGCACGTCCCGCTGGAGCGCCATGGAGATCATGGTGAGGAGCTGGGGGGTCATGGTGAGGAGCTGGGGGGTCATAGTGGGGCTGTGGAGATCATGGTGAGGAGCTTGGGGATCATGGTGAGGAGCTGGGGGGTCATGGTGAGGAGCTGGGGGTCATGGTGGGGCCATGGGGAGCATGGAGATCATGGTGAGGAGCATGGAGGTGATGGTGGGGTCATGGTGGGGAGCATGGAGGTGATGTTGGAGTCACAGAGATCATGGTGAGGAGCTTGGGGGTCATGGTGGGGCTGTGGGGGTCATGGTGAGGAGCTTGGGGGTCATGGTGGGGCCATGGGGAGCATGGAGATCATGGTGAGGAGCATGGAGGTGATGTTGGGGTCACAGAGATCATGGTGAGGAACTTGGGGGTCATGGTAGGGCCATGGAGATCATGGTGGGAAGCATGGAGATGATGGTGGGGCCATGGAGGTCGTGGCATGGCAGCCCTGGGCACACTGGGTTCCACTCCATCCAGGCTTTCCACCTCAAATAATTTAACAGCCTGTCCCAGAATGAGCCCAGTGCTAATTAGGAGAAGATGGGCTGATGTGTGGGGGTTTGGCTGGTTTCTTTGGGTTTGTGTCATTTTGGTTTGACTGAAGTCCTTCAGTTTGATACCAGCCTGGCCCATGGCTGGATGGGGGTGGAATGAGATGGCTTCAGTGTCCAAAGCAGGCTGTGAGTCCAGGAGATGCCAGCACTGCAGCATCCTGCTGGTGCCACTTGCCCTTGCCGAGGGACAGCGAGCGTTGCCTTGGCCATCTCCTGTACCCCCAGAGAACGTGTCCTGCAGGGCATCTCCATTTTCTGAAGCGCTTTCTCCGCGCTTTCCCCTCGGCAGGAAGCCTACTCCGTGGCCAGGCAGTTCAACATGATCCCCCCCGTGTGTGAGCAGGCCGAGTATCACCTGTTCCAGAGGGAGAAGGTGGAGGTGCAGCTGCCAGAATTGTATCACAAAATCGGTGAGTCTGAACCTGCTGGGCCTTCTGGCTGGGGCATTCCCAGAGGGTAGGATGGCCTGGGGCTCCAGATGGGACCGGTGACAAAGCCAAGTCTCTATCTGATAGTGGCCTAAAAGAAAAACCAGCTTACTGTGCCTCTGATCAAGTATTGCTTAATATTATGTTAATAACTGAAGTACATTAATGAACATATTAAGTATTAATTGGCTTGGCTGCTCCTTACTCTCTGAGATTCACGTGGTCCATTAAGTGAAATAAATCCTTAAGCACATTCTTGCAAGACCAGCTGAGCGTTGCTGCCAGTGGCAACAGAAACAAGCAGCAATCAGTTTGCTCTTGGTTTAGTTTTTGACTGAAAGCTACATTTTTGCTACAGCTCTGATTTGTCCCACTCCCCTAAAACCCCCTTTTTCTGTTTCCTCTGCAGGGGTGGGAGCAATGACGTGGTCTCCCCTGGCCTGTGGGATCATCTCAGGGAAATACGGCAACGGGGTCCCTGAAAGCTCAAGGGCTTCACTCAAGGTATTTCTGGAGCACGTCTGAGTCCTGCTGCTTTTGTGAGGGCAGGAAAACAACAAAGGGGAAAGGGCTCCCTCGTGAGAAGGAGGGCTGTGCTTGGATGGATCAGCTCTGTTTCTCTGGCAACCACACTCCGAAGAGCAGCAGAATCTGGGTTAGAACCAGCTCAGGCTCCCCACGCAGGGAGCTCAGGGGGGCTTGGGGCAGCTCTGGGGGTGCTGGTGCTGTCCCCACCCTGCACTGAGGGACATCACCCGGGAGGAGGCATGAGCCACGGGCTCTGTGGTGCTCCAGGCTCCTCACTGATGTTAACCCTGGAATTTTGAGGTTGGAAAGGACCTCCAAGGTCACGGAGTCCAGCCCTGAATGGATGCAGCTGCTGCCACTTGCAGCCCCCCTGAACCACGTAGGTCCAACAGACTTGGACATCATTTCCCTGGGTACCAGCCTAGGCCACGGGGGTGCTCAGCCCCCCAGCATCCCTCCCGAGACCCCAGGCCAAGGTTAAGCCCACTGGAGACCTGGGGGCTGCCCTCTCTAACACGTTTTGGCATTCTGGTGTCACCACAACTTGGTTTCTCCACAGTTATCCTGATTTTATTCTTATGGGGGTTAGGGGGTCCAAAAAGAAAACTGGGGAGATTCCAGGTTCTGGAGTGAGAATAAAGCCAGAGAGCTGAGGACAGCAGGAGACATTCTGGCCGTGCCCTAATTGCTTTGGGTAGCCCAGCTTTGTGTTACTCAGCCTCTGCAACGTTCTGGGCTGGACGTGGCTTTTCAAGCGCTGCTATTTATAGACATTTATAGATTATAATTATAAATCGCCTCAAAGTCCCCGCTTTGGAGGCTGAAAGCTGATGGCCTGATGTGCTGTGGTTGCTCTGCAGTGCTACCAGTGGCTGAAGGAGAAGATCATCAGCGAGGAGGGCAGGAAGCAGCAGGGGAAGCTGAAGGACCTGTCCCCCATCGCCGAGCGCCTCGGCTGCACGCTGCCACAGCTGGCTGTTGGTGGGTGCCCGCACAGCTGGGCTGCTCCTGGCCCTCCTCAGGGCTCAGGGGTGCCTGGGGAAAGGCTAACACAGAAAATGGGTTCTCTTCCCACCATGGTTTGGGCCAGGCCTGCAGCTAGAGATGGGTTTGTTGTTTAAAAGGAGTAAAAAATTATTGGTCGTGCAGCGGTTTGGGGTAGAAAGGAACTTAAAGCTCATTTTGTTCCAGCCCCTGCCGTGGGCTGGGACACCTTCCACTAGGCCAGGTTGTTCCAAACCGGTCCAGCCTGGCCTGGGACACTCCCAGGGATCCAGGGGCAGCCACAGCTGCTCTGGGCAGCAATTAATTAAAGCAGGATTGTTTCCAGCAGCAGCACAGGCTGTGACTGACAGGGTCAGAGAGTCCTGGGCATCCCCAGGGGTCTCACCTCCCTGTTCCCCTGGACATCCCTCCCCCCACGAAGCCATCACCTTTGGGGTGCTGGGCTGGCAGACAAGAGAATGCTGTTCAAAATGAGTTTTGAGGGTTCTTTTCCTAATAATTATCTTTATGCTGCTGAGAGCTGAGGCTGGAAAATAGCACATGTCTGTCAGAAAAATGATCCCTGGTTCCACCTGCCAGCAGTGAATCCTTGTGATGGGGAATATCCAAACCCCACAGCCAGGAGAAGTGCTAGGGCAGGGAGCAGCCTCAGGATCCTGGAAGATTTGTGGGGTTTGATATTTGATCTGTGCATCTTCCCCTGGGTAGTGCCAGAGGAGCAAAGTTGAGGCAAAGAATGAGATTATTGTCAAGCAGAGACAGAGGCTCTGTCAAGCACCAGGGACTGGAGCAAGGCCCTGTCAGCCCTTCTGTGCCCTGAGCACCTTGTGCCTTTGTTCCCAGCATGGTGCCTGAGGAATGAGGGGGTGAGCTCTGTCCTTCTGGGATCCTCCAACCCCGAGCAGCTGATCGAGAACCTTGGAGCCATCCAGGTGAGTGCAGGGGTGGCACCTCCGTGGAGAGAGACACCCCCAGACCTCAGCACCCCTTCTCTCACTCAGCACAGGGCTGGCACTCAGCATTCTGTCTCAGCTCCATCCATGCACCCTCATCAGGCCCACCCCTGCTGTCCCCATGGCTTAGCACCTTTGGGGTCGTTGTCCAGTGACACGAGGGTGGCATCAGCAGCTTTCACGCACCTGAAAAATGCAAGTGAGTCCAGGGCATGTTGTGACAGATTCTGTGCTGCCACGTGTCACCTGCACCCACCTTGATTATTCCCTGCTGTTTTTCCCCAGTCAGAGCTTCCTCTGCCTCTGCTGTCCTTGCCCCAGCTCGTGTCCCAGTGCAGCCAGGCAGTATTCCACACACAAAGCTGAGAGGCTCTGCTGTGATTCTCTCACCAAGTAAAGATCCTCCAGTGGTTTTTTTCCTTTAAGGGAGAAAGTTATTAGATGAATACTTAATATCTGTCACACAAAAAGCCCAGAGGAAATGTACTTTGATAAAATCTAGGTTTCATTTTGGAACTATCTCGATTAAGCATCGCTTTCTTCCACCCCAGGTCCTTCCAAAGATGACATCCCATATTGTAAATGAAATAGATAATATCCTGGGCAACAAGCCCTACAGCAAGAAGGACTACAGATCCTAATGCAATGCATGAATTTCCTGGACTGCATGGTTTAGAAGTGCTCTGTACTCCAGTACAGCCCTGAGTTACTCTCATGAGAATCATTCAGCACTTGCTGCTCGGTGTCTACTGTCACTGGATCCTTCGAGATGTGTGCTCTTGCTACTACTCTGCAGTGAATTTAAAAGCACAGTTGATCTCTCTTCTAACCAAGAATAACCTTGTATTTTCTTACCTTCTTGACCGAGTTCATTAATTTTTACTTTACTCTTTGCACCTCATGCTTGTGCTGTGATAAACACTTGTAAAGCAAAAAACAAAAAAAAAAAAGAAAAAATTTATAACCTTCAGGTACTTGGTAATTAAAGAAGGATGTACAGCAAACACTTGTAAAGCAAAAAAAAAAAAAAAAGAAAAAATTTATAACCTTCAGGTACTTGGTAATTAAAGAAGGATGTACAGATCTATTTTTTCAATGAAGAAAAGCCAGATACAACTTCAGGTTTTAATAAAACCATGTTTGGGAAATCTCAACTATAAAGTTTCTTCAGGTTAACAGATGGAAGGATCAAGCTCAAACTTTGCTTTTTTACGCTGAATAGAAGCTCTAGGATTTCTTTGTAGTTGAATGAAGGCTGTAAGACAGAGAACTAGTTAGCAATTAGATAGTTCAGCTCCTAATTTTACAGCTGTTCCAGCTGTGGAGTGCTCCTGGGCAGCACCCTGGAGCAGTGCTAGGAAGCCCAAACACGCATGTCAGGTTACTGAACACGACAGCTCTGCAAAGTTCTACTTCTCCATAAACCTTAAGCCAAGAAAGCCATGATCAAATATTGGGTTTTGCATCTATAGAAACCTGCCTCTACTTCTGCCTGCTTGTAGACAGAGCTACTGCAAATTTCAATATTCAGGAGCTTTTAAGGATCTAGATACTATAAATATATACAATATATAGCTGCTGAGAACTGCAGGAACAATCAGGTACGTACTCCAAAAGGCTACCCCTGCTTCCACTTGCTTTGGAAACGGGGATAAGTAAATGCACAGACACATTTTAAACAGATTTTTGTGAGCATTTACAGGAGATGACAGGAAGAATTTACGTCCTAATTCGCCCAGCTCAAGCCCCCGTTGCACCTTCCCGAGGATTTGCTCTGTACCACGCTCTGATTTCAGTCTGTATTTCTCCCGTCCCTGCTGGGACACAGCTCTGTACAGTATTTGTAGGACCCTTGTACTGCCCCCTGCAGCGCTCACCTGGGCCAGGTGAGCAGCTCCCCACACCCGAGTGGTCTCCTCCTGTATTTGAAGCTGTGGTGTGTGTAAACGACTCCTGCTGTACATGAGAAATGCAGTCTGACTGGAATTCTGCTTGGACACAATAAAAGCATTTTGTGCATCTACCCTGAGAGCTGCAGGCCTGTTACTGACACTGGAGCTGCCCCGGGCCAGCAGGGCTTTGTGCTGAGGATGGGGGGTGCTGTTCCACAGGGAACATTCCAGGAGGGACAGGAGGGAGCTGGGCTGGCCCCGAGGTGCTGCTGGCAGCCAGTGCCCAAGGAGCACAGCAGTCCCAGGTAAGGTCTGTCCTGGCCTGACACGGAGGGGGCAGGGATGGATGGGATTTTGGGAAGGAATTCCTCCCTGGGAGGGTGGGCAGACCCCAGAGCAGCTGGGGCTGCCCCTGGATCCCTGGCAGTGCCCAAGGCCAGGTTGGACATTGGGGCTGGAGCACAGGGGGCAGTGGGAGGTGTCCCTGCCATGGCAGGGGTGGCACTGGGTGGGATTTAAGTTCCTTTCTAAGCCATGCTCTGTGATTTGGCCTGGAATGAGCCCAGTGCAGCTGTCCCCAGGTGACACTGGCCAGTCCCAGCCAGCTGGGGTGGAGCCCACCTTGCCCTGCCCTGGGAACAATGCTGCATTACCACTGTTAATTTCTACTGAGCTTCAACCATTCCTCAGTTAACAGCTTTATTAATTTAATATAATTATCCTCCCAGTAACAGACTAATTCCTGTTCCTCCCCCTGGAGGTACAATTTAATGTTCTCTCTTCCCCTTCTCATGTACTTGGGAATCCAATAATGTATTAAAACTAGATCAATCCCCAACTTTAATTGAGGAGATGACATTTTCCCTTACAGGCTCTGAGGGCAATGTGGGGCCAAGCAGCAACCCTGCTTCAGGTTAACTCCCAGCATTAAACTATAGAAATATGATTTCAGCGTTTTATAATGAATTTTTTATTTATCATTGCAGCTTGTAGTGGGGATTGCAAGGGAAAAACCAAACACCAGCTCTGAAACAAACAAACAAACAAAAAAAACACCTGGAAAAGTGAACAAAAATCCAAATGCCAACCAAAAAAAGCCCCAAACCTTTCTGTGAAGGCTCAAGATTAGGTTTTTTGCAGAACACAACCCACCCCACCCACCCACCTGCTTTTGTTTCAGGCTGTCAGTGCTCAGTGTTCCCTCTCCAGGAAAATTCTGACACGCTAAGCTCCAGGCCTCAGCAACTGTCAATACCAAAAAAGCCCTAAGAGAAGATGAAAAGCTGGTAATAAAAGACTCAGTGAGCCGACAGTAATGGCAGAAGAAAGTGCTGCTTCCAAGCACTTTGCAGACAGCAGATTTTCTGGGGAATACACCTGCCAGGAGAGTGAGTATAACATTGTCAGTTCAAGGGTTTGGGGGCTCTGAGAGCAACAGAGCAAAACCAGCAACATCCAAGTCCTGCTGCTCCCAGAGGAGCCAGCCTGGCTTGGAGTTGGCCTCTGGCTGTTTGGAGAGGGTTGTTAAAAATCTGCTTTATGTGAGCTAAATACTCAGCTAAAACCCATCAATTAGATCCCTTGTAAGAAGTGAGGCCAAGGAAAGGGAAATTGTCCAAGGCAGGCAGCAGCTTTAGGGAATGTGTCCTTCCAGTGCTGAATAGTCAGGCAGAAGGGATAAAGAAAATTCTATGTATTTAAGAGAAAACAGTTAATTCAAGAGTATTAAATGGCCAAAAGTACTTGAATTTGTCAGAAATAGAGCCATTACTGTCTCCTGCTCATCACAGTCTCCATTTTGCTCTATTTTCCATTTAATCTTATTGAAGCCAAGATTAGCAGAGTAATTGTTACATTAAATCAGATTCAAAACTTTCTTCTCTCTTTAGGATCCCAAGTCTGTAATGGCAGGATCTGTAACTGGAATTCCACTAATATCAGTAGAGTTTGGCATTTAAGTGAACAGCTGCTCCAGTGATAGCCAGAAAAGAAGGCACAGGATTGTCTGATAAATCCATTATTAAAAGCCAGCTAAAGGATCTTTCTTAAGCTGTGCAGGGAGACTGGCAGGGCTTTTTATTTATTTACAACTTTGAAGATTAATTTAAAAAAAGTGCATTCAAACCACTTCAAAAGTGTTCTCCTAGGAGATTTAGGTTTTGTCCTGACTCCATGTTACTCAAAAATGAGGAGTGCTTTTAAGGAATATGTTAGCTTGTAGAAGTCTCCTCTCTTCTGGAAGCAGAAAGAATTGACAAACCTAGATATGGAAATTCCCATTAAAAAAAGAAGAGAAGAATGAAAATACAAGGAATCAAATGGCAAAAAAAAAAGCTCCTTTTAATTACAACTTTTCAAGTTACAATGATAAATGGATTGTCCCCAGGGTGGAGCTGCAGAAAGATGTGTCTGCTCACACACCCTCTCCTTGCTAAGTAAAAAAAACCAAAAACTGAGTAACTCCAATATCAAATACCATGTAAAGATACCAAAAGTAAATACAATTCAACCATTTTGGATTCAAACCCTCCCCATGTTTTCCTCATGCTAAAAAAAAAAAATATTCCTATTCCACCCTTAGGCATTTTCATGGCAGCTGAAGCCTCTCACAGGAACTGCTGAGGGTTTTGTGTCTACTTGGATCCTGTGGAGAGCAGAGCAATCAGTCCTGAGGAAGCACTGATAGAAAGGATGTAGTTTCTGTAGGGAACAGGTTAAGGAATTGTCAAGATCCTTTTCTGGTACACAACATTTGGTAGGAGTTTTATGAAAAGGAAGGAACTGAAATGGTCTTTCTCTGCAGTTTTAAAACTGGAAAACTGCAACCTGAAACACAGCTTCAGAACTGACCTTCAGAATTAAGGCACCCAGAAAGTTCAGCCTGTTCTCTAACACATTTTATAAATGCAGACCTTGAATTAACTGCCCTGTTGGCAATACTAATATCCTTCAGGAACAAAATATTTTACTTGTGAGCTACTGGAGCTGGAGCATCCTGTCAGGGAAGAGCTCCTGGCAACCAACACTGACACTGTGTTTGCAGGAAACTGAGCTGTGTCCTCACTCCACAATTACAATGGAAACAGCAAAGCCAGGACAATTCCTGTATACTGTCCAAGCACTACCCTTAAAACATCTCATGTTTTAAGAGACTATAAGTGGGAGAGTTTATTTTTGTAAGCTCTTATTTTTGTTTCAACATTCTAAGCTGCTGTACTACAATGAGCTGCACGTGTCAGAGGAATGGCACAGCCCACAGGACAACCACAGCTGGTGGTGACAGCTAACAGGAGTGGGGCTGTGGGGGATTTAGGGTGGGGATAAAGGATACACAGTGGGGTTGAAGTTCTTCAGCACGAAAAAGGAAGCGATGATAACCAGGACCAGAAAGAGGGTGTTGTTGTAGAAGATGGAGAAAGTTGTGGCTTCGTAGTCTGCAACTTCATTTTTCTTCCACAGAATCCTAGGAGCAAGTGGAGATAAAATTTCAAATATATTTAAATCAATGGATATCACTGGAATGGCTTGGGTGGGGAGAGGCCTTAAAGCTCATCCCACCCCCCCCCTGCCATGGCAGGGACACCTTCCACTGTCCCAGGCTGCTCCAAGCCCTGTCCAGCCTGGCCTTGGGCACTGCCAGGGATCCAGGGGATATCCTGGACACACACATGATGAAGGGTGCAGTAGTTTTTCCAGAAGACAGAGAGTTTGCCTCCACAGCTCCCATCCTGCACAATCCCAGTGGGGATCCCCTCTAACACCTTCTGGGACCTTCCCTTGACAACTCACCTCAAAAGGGCTCGAAGCTGAGCCACGAGCTACCCTGCAGCTGCTGCTTCCCAGAATACAGAAAAACAGTGCCAAGCACAGTGCCTACTGCCCCACCCAGAGCCCCAAAGACATTTAAGGCCCTCCCTCAACAAGGGAGAGAAGGAGGAGGACAGAGGGATCACCTTTCATCCTTCTCCTTGCGCGACATCTTCCTGTTGTCAGCCTCGGACAGCTTGCGAGTCACCTCCTTGGAAACAGCATCTTCTCTTTTCTGGGCTACTCTGTAAGTACCACCACTCATGTCACACTTCAGAAATAAAAAAAAAGCCCACAGCACAGCCCTGGCATCACAGGAAGTTTTATGTACAGTGAAGAATACAACTTAGCCAAGATACTCAAAATTTTGTCAAGGTGAAGGGATAAGAAATAGTAACAGCAATTACTAAGGATAATATAATTTACATCCAATAAGTAATATAATTTAAGCATAATTTGTGGTGCCACCCAAGGAGCATGATGGTGGATTTACTATTTCATCCTACTCTTAGCTGACAAGATTTGACTATAATTACAAGAGAACAACAGAAACCAGTCAGGAAACACTTCTGTTCAAAATATTTTTTTTTAGTAACATTACTTATTAATAAAAAACCACAGTAGTAAGTGGCAGTTTTGTTAAATTATTAAACGATAAATTCAAAGAGGCACCAAGCTTACTTGTGTTTGAGGACAAACTTGACGTTTTTATATGCAAAAGCCACGAGATAGGTACTGATGAGGGTCATGACACTGTACAGGACTGCAGACTGAACAAGATCCATATGCCATATTCTCCAATAAAGCCCTTAGAAAAAAAGAACAATGACATTTGAAGCAGTTTCTCTCCAAGAAAAACACCCCATACTAGAGACCCGTACAGAATCCGAGTTCTGTAATTCCACAGTCTCTGCCTGAGCAAAGCCGACTCCTCCAAAATCCCTCGGGGCTCTTTCGACTGCATTAAAAGTACTCTGGAAGGGGGAAATGAGCTTTGCGGTGGCTGGAAGGGGCCCGGTGAGAGCAGGGCAGAGCCTGCGGGCAGCGCGGCTGCGGTGACACGTCAGTGATGCTGCCCTGCCGGCCGGAACCGGGACCCGACACGGCTGGAACCGGGACCCGATGGGCCCGGAGCCCGGATCTCACACGGCTGGAACCGGGATCCGATGGGGCCGGAGCCAGGATCTCACACGGCTCAGAACCGGGACCCGATGGGGCCCGGAGCCAGGATCCGATGGGGCCGGAGCCAGGATCTCACACGGCTCAGAACCAGGATCCGATGGGGCCCGGAGCCAGGATCTCACACGGCTCAGAACCGGGATCC